GGGAGGAGGAGTCAGAGGGGGATGGGGACTGTGGCCTGACAGGACCACCCGCTCTGGTGGGCTCCTATGGCACCTCCCCTGAGGGTATCGGCGGCTACATCCATTCTCATCGGCCCCTGGGCCCTGGAGAGTTTGAGTCCTTCATTGACGTCTACGCCATCCGGAGTGCTGAGGGTGAGAGAGATCCTGGAAATATTAAGGGTGTTGGTGGTGGTGGGGGAGTTGGCCTTGGGGGACTGAGACCAGGGTGGTGGGAGAGAGGCTGGTTAGCTTTTCAAAACAGATCTGACTGGTTCTTGGGGAGAGGGAATTGGGACTGTACTTGCTCTTCATTGCTGGTTTCTTTCCCCAGGGGCCCCCCAGAAGGAGGTGTATTTCATGGGTCTCATCGACATCCTGACACAGTATGATGCCAAGAAGAAAGCAGCTCATGCAGCCAAAACTGTCAAGCATGGGGTAAGGGTTCCGCAAAGCCTTTCCTTTCCTATCTTTTGACTCTTTGGGAACAGGGGGCCATTTGTGCCAGAGAAATGGGGTGGCAAAAGGACAAAGGGTTGGGGATGGAAGTGGTGTGGAGTGGAATGGAGGGTGGAGAGTGGGAAGGGTGGGGCGGTGGCCTGACACTGTGTTCCATACTTCCTCTCACAGGCTGGGGCAGAGATCTCTACTGTCCATCCTGAGCAGTATGCTAAGCGATTCCTGGATTTTATTACCAACATCTTTGCCTAAGAGACTGCCTGACTCCATGCTGACTGCTGCTTTATCTTCAAGGTGGCAGGGTTCTGAGAGGCTTGGGGAAATTGTGGATATGCTGATCACTACTTCTTTTCCTCCTTTGTTAAATTCCAGCTACAGGCTCCTTGCATCCAGATAACTCCATCTTGTTGAGTAGGCTCTTCCTCACCCTCAGAAATACACTATCCTATCTCCCCCTGTCCAGTTTTCTTCCTTTTCTCCCTCCCCTCCAACCATTCTGCTTGCTTCATTAGAGTGTTACTGTTGACTCACTCCCAAGTGCCTTGATCTTTGTAAATGTCCTGTTATTTCTAGAACATAGGAGGAGATGGGGGAAGGGGGTTACTTGCCAACTTCAGGACCTGACTGGACAGATGGACCTGGCTCAAGCAACTACTCTGGATGCACTTTGCTGTGTGGGATGAACTAAGAGTGTCTGAATTTTGCTGATAACTTTATAGAACTCACTGTAGCATGCTTCCTTCCCAGTAGGCCCTGGGATGGAGGACTTTCAAGATACTACAGTTGTGGGTGCTGGCATGCACACATGTGATGGGATATGGCCCATCTTACACACTAATGGGGTGGGGAGTGGCGAGCCGGCTGGCACCTCACAGAGGTGGGACCCACGAGGACACTTGAAATTATGCAGGGAATTGGAAAAGGTGTCTGTCAAGAATTGACTCCTCTCCAGTCTCTTTCCTCATCCTTTTTCCAACCCCCACCCCTGTACTTCTGGGTACAAGAGCCCAGAGATGGCGAAAGTGTTCAAGCCTGGGTGAAGACATTGGACTGCTACTGCTCTTCACCAGGACCTCACACCCCTCCTGGGGCTGGAACCCTTCAGTGGGGGGTGTGGGCAGTTTTGGAGGCTGGAATGATGGGCCAGGGTAAAAGGTTCATTCCCAGTGCTAAATTTCCTCTCTTCATGTCTATCCATCCCTGAGGTTTTATTCCCACCAGAAGGGAATATCTCTGCCTGGGTCAATCCTGGTCACTTCAAGAGGATGAAGGACTCAAGTGTGGGAACCTGCTCTACTCTTTGGAGGTGTGCACCTAGCATACTTCCTTCTCAGTCCCTTCTCAAATCCTTTCTCCAGTTGGATTTGTTATTCTGTTCTATTCTGTCTCATACTGCTACTGTGTCTCCCAAGGGACAGATGGACTTCTTTGTCATCTTCACTCTCTACCCCCAGAGAGGAGTCAGAGCCAGGACTCAAATCACCCAGCCCTCTCCAAAGAGTTGAAATGACATGTGATAGTCTCAGAATGTAGAGGACTCTGATGACCCAGATAGTGTCCTCCCCATCCCCTGATGCCTTTGGGGCTAAGGCAACCATTCTTGCTACTCTCCACTCGATCCCCTTTATGGCTTCCACACTTTTTTTT